GAGCTGTATCTGCTTTGCATGCCCCATTTTTATGACTGTGGATGGAGGCCTATTCGCTGAAAATTTTGGAATGACACTTGCGAAATGAGATCTATCCTGCTCCCTCTCTCCCTCTCCCTCTCTCTAACAGGCGAAAGAACGAGTGATGTTATATAAATGCGACTGACAGGCAGAGAAGGCCTCGATGATGCCGACTAGATCAGGCATGATCGCAGCCGTACCATGGAGAAGAAGAAGAGGAAGACATGAGGGTCAGACCTACACACATTCTGTCAAGCTGGATGACACGAAAACCATCTTTTGATGTGGGGGCGCTTCTCAGACCTGAATTAAATCAACATAAAAATATCAGGCTGAGCCCCGAAGACGAGACTGAACCTTTACGAGATCGTGCTATCTTTCGACACAAGATTGCATTTTTCATCAACCGCGACCGACCTGGTACGCGAACCTACGAGAAGAGGCCTGCATTGGAGTAGGACATAATCCAGAGCCCTCTTTATATTGGACATGTCTTCATAGATATTGTATCCACAGTTAAATATTGTTACAGGTCGATGCGCCCTGTGTTTCTGGACAAATTGCACATGTATCTGCATTTATGCTGTACCAGATCATACAGGACATTTTGCAATTTTAAAAATCCACCTACTGCTTCTCCTATCGGAATCATTGTAGAAAGTGCATGTTCAATCCCCATGGACCTGGTGGATGCTGAGGACCGCTCGTCTCCTCTCTCCTTCCCAATTGGCCTCAGCAGGGCTCGCCGCAAAAATCACATGTTTGGTGCCTACGAGGAGGCCCTTTCCGTCGGCATCCGCTATCTGCGCCAGGCGCCTACGAGTCAACAATATCCTGCTCATTCCCTCCCTCCCATCCTCGTCTCCGCCATCACTGAATACGACGTCTTGAGAGAAATGCTTGTTCTCCAGGGCGGCTTCGTGTAGCGTATATTTACAAACTGATGTAGATATAGATCTGGATACACCATGAAAGTCGCATGAGGAAATATGATATGCAAATGACGTAGAAACCGTCGACTACAATACGTAGCCAATTTGTACACTCTAAAGATTGGATGGGGATGCTAGCCTACAGAGTCCTCCCATTGTCACGCACGTCAGAAAAGTATTGATTTTAAGGCACGTCTGGAGAGTGAACTGTCTTGCATTGCACACGCACCTAAGTCCCACAAGCTCCTGGGGGTTCAATAGCAGTATGTTTTCCTTGATCCTTGATGGCGGACTCGAGTGAGAGTTTGAGACGTCGGAGTAGCATCTGGGGCCTTCCTTCTCCTTTTCTGCTGCAAATGTCTTACCTAGCTTGCAGGTAGTTACACATCTCGCGCCTGTAGATGAGGATAAAACAGACAGTCAACCTGTCGGTGGTATTCTCCAAAATGACTGCCCACAGTGAAACCTCTCCCGATTGTCGACTTCCAGCGAAAATTACAGCAAAGGGCAATTTTTTTGAATGATGGAAAGCAGATCAGTCCTGTACATCAGTATGAATGTACTCTTGGAGCACCTTATGCAAAATGAGGAGTTCGGGCAGTCATCGCTCACGATCAGTCACTTCTAAATGCTTGCTTGCGGAGATAATGCTGCATGACGGTACTGTGTGACGGATACACGACAAAGCCTTCCAGCCGTGTGCACATTGGTCTAAACTATGCACGGCAGAAATGCCTGCCGTCTGTTCACAACGTATTTCTCTCCGCCCCCATCTTCCCTCCCTCCCTCTCTGCCTGCCTGCAGGTTTTTCTTCGATAGACTCTCATCTGTCGGGCTGCATTTTCAGCATTCCACCCTCACGCTCGCCCGCCCGCCCGCCCGCCCGCGACTGGAGTGATCCCGAGGCCCTGCTGTAGGATGCCAGACTTGGTGTGACTTTGATACAGCAGTTGGGCCAACTGCCCATCTCCTGCGTCGGCTGGTCAGAGGAGACGACCAGGCAGCATCAGACTTGCATTTCGACGGTCAGCCGCATTTTGATTGGCCAGTTCTGCTGGTGGCGCATTTGGCCATTTGTCCGAAATGCGCACATTATGGATGCTGACACTAACCTCGTGTCACCTGACATTGCCATTTAATGATCTCTATCTGTACTCCTTGTACACTGTTTATGTTAATGCTGACTAGTACTAAAATAAAAAAGCGCCCTAAATGCACCGAAACAGGTGCTAATTTTTCCGAAATATTGGGATGTGTTAGCTGGTTGAAACGGTTGTTTAAGTGGATTTGGAAGAGGCGATGCCAAGATGCGCATTCTGCTAGGTTATCTCATTGGCTGTGGCCTGCTGATTTGCAAAGTCACCTGGAAATTGTTTGAAAGCAGGACGAAATACGTTCGAGACCGTTTTGCTCAGAGCTGCGAGCTAGAGCGTCCACAGATAGTCGCACAGCAACCCACCTTCAGACCTCTTCTGATTGTCCTTGGGGTGTTGGTTCTTAACTAATGAAATAATACTTTGTCATTTAAATGCAACTGTGCCTTTGGGGTTAGGTGTACGTCTGTGGGGACACCAGCCAATAATAATTGGGTATGATCTTGGTTATGTGATGAATTAAAACTTTGGATAAGGACCTTTGTCAGTTAATGGAATACTGAAGTAGTTGTAGGAAGAGGTACGCACATGGGAATGAAGGAGGCATTGGTGGTAGCTGTGAGGCCCTAACTATGGCTAGGTCACGGGTTACCCGAGAGGGGGGGGAGATGGAGGGGCGGGAGGTCGGAGGTGAGCGTTGACAGAGTGGCCAACGAATTTGCACGGCGCATCCACGTGCACCACACAGGACCTGTTTGTATATGACAGTGGACGCTCACCGATCATGTCGCGGAACATGCTCGTTCCGTTGTGCCTTGGGGCTCATACTATAACCCTCACAGACAATCGCACAGCGACTAGTAGTAGACATAGATGAGATGGAGCCGACAAAGGCAAGGGAGACCGGAATGGCCATTTCTGGCTTATTAACCGTCATCAACCAGTCAAACCCAACCCCAAGTGTGGATCACTTGAGATTCGAACCCGGGATTTTTGGTCATGGAGTTTGACACTGCACCATCGACTGGCTGATGACGGCTAATAAGCCAGAAATGGCCATTCCGGTCTCCCTTGCCTTTGTTGGCACCATGTCACATATGCATATGCATACAATTGGACGGTCAAAGACAGAGCCCTTTATGACCCTATTTATGTGCAGTGCTTTCGCAGATTCGCACTCAAAATAAAATTGCAGGCATTTACCGTGTGATCGGGTCACAGTTCAATCGTAATCATAAGGAAGTGCATCAGTTCACTGTAAGAAGTCATTTGGGTAGTCATTCAGTAAAAGTCCATTTCTGTCGAAAATTAGGCGAACAAGTTTTCTGTTAAATATGCAAATTGGGCCAGCCGTCACCATCTCGCTTGGAATCGAGTTCCACGGTCGGAAAACCCGCTGGCTGAATGAAAACTTTCTACGGTCTAACCGCGTGCGCTCATTCTTGACTTTGTAGGCATGACCGTGTAATTGGTTTGTACGGGCAAACTCAAAGACGTCCTCCGTTCTTAATGAGCAACCTTGGCCGCGGACAATCTGGAATGTCCAGAGTAGACTACAGTTTAGACCGTCGACAATCTCTGTTGCTCTGCGTTGCACCTGCTCGAGTAAGTCGATATCCATGGCGCAGCTGCTGGCATTCCCTACTCCAGCTGAGGTCTTACAAAGACACCAATAAGTCTTTCGAAGAGTTCGGGGGGAAATATTTTAAATGCCCGTCTGATCCAGTGTAGAGTACTAGTGGCGTTCTGGACAGTTGCCTTTAAACAGTGTTCTGATGGCGATAGATTTGTGGTCGTCCATAAACCCAGATCTCTGTGTTTTTCCATAGTTTCTAACGCCGTCCCGTACTGGTGTTTGGAAGAGGCATTTCGGTCGGTGTTCAGGTGCAAAACCCCGCATTTGGACACGTTAAATTTCAAAAGCCATCTGTTCGATGTGGGAAACCGAGGGTTAGAGCTGACCGTGACAAGCATCA